TGTGATAGCTTTGCAGAATCAAACAATCAACATGCAACTTTCAGCACATACTCACTTCTCAAAGTAAACATTCAAGAATAAGAACTAATTTTTTACAAGAACTGACAAGCATTATCTAGCTTCTTTATGCTTTGCCAACTTCACCTCCTTTTTACATCTCACTTCCAGGAGGCAGGCTTTTATATGAAGCTGTGTTTTCATACACTCAGAAAAAAAACTAAGTGATTATATCTTTGACAAGCCAGACTGCACGAGCATGGCAATTATACCATACTGTATGTCTCCTGAGGGACAGGAGTTAATCACATCACAACATCATTTTGAGAAGATAAGCAATATCTTAGATGTTTTAAGGTTTTCCCTGTTCTGTACATCTAGCTGACCAAATTGGTGCCATAAACGATTGCTACCTGTGGAAAGCAGATTTGATTAAGTGAAGATAATCTGTGATATTGTTCTTTAGTCTTAGTAGCGGATGCTAGTTTTGATAACATCAATATATTGGAGGACTCAGGGCTGTGTTACAGACATAGTCAAAGAAACTCTCAAGCTCCCCAACCCATATAAAATTTTTAACCCAGGAGCACTTACCTGCCAGCTTCTGAATTTTACTTACTACCAAACAACTTCATTGGGAAGTAGCACCCCCAGGGTTTTCCCATTCTGAGTAGTCACCACCGATGTTACTAGCTCTTAGAGTGTCCCAAACTATTTCACAGAGATTGTAGAAAACACGAGGAAAAAGCAGTCTACTTAGGAACACGGATTCCATTTCACGAGGACAGTAGAAAAACACCCTAAGTAACCTGAACCTCATACTCCCCTAGAGTGGCAAGTCTTCCCATACTCCTCATGCTTCCTTTATAGCAAAGGTCAAATGATCCCCACCTGGCAGATTTCACTTCACATGTGTGGAGTCATGAGACCTTGTGGAATAGGCTCATCAACCTAGGTTTCAATGTTTAAGGTTCAATTGCTCCTTATCACTAATAGAAATAACCTGACAAGGGGCTTAGTGGTTAGAGTTGACCTAATGAATTAAATACAAAAGGCATCTGAGGCTCATATTTCTGCTAGTCATTCTGTGAGGAAAATTAGTACAGAGCCTGTTAAAATAAGATCAATAAACTTAAATAAAATAAAAAAGAAAATGACCTAAAAGGCAAAATTGTCGTCATAGATTTTCATCTGTCTAGTCACGACAGATAAAGAATATAGCAATCAGAAAGACTTTGCTTGACATTAATGTTGCTTAAATTTGCTTTTCTGAGATCTCTTCTTTATGCCGGACTTTTAAAAATCTAGCGCCATGACCTCCGACTGCAGTATTTACTTTGGCTGCACATAAACTATCATGTATAAATGCCAGGATACGGATCCTCACTCCCTGTTCAGGTCAAGGACCGGACTGAAAGTTTTGGCTTCAATTTGGTTACATGACTACATTGCTGTTGTCATGGTTTCCCCTAGCCGGCAGCTAAGCACCACACAGCCGTTCGCACAGCCGTTCATTCGCTCAAGGCTTGTAGGAGCTGTGCCGGGAGAACAATGGCAAGGCCGGGGGATAGGGCAATGGCCCAGCTGAAGTGCTTCTACACCAATGCACACAGCATGGGTAACAAACAGGAGGAGCTGGAAGCCATCGTGCAGCAGGCAGGCTACGACTTGGTTGCCGTCATGGAGACGTGGTAGGACCAGTCTCATGACTGGAGTGCTGCAATGCCTGGCTATAAGCTCTTCAGAAGGGACAGGCAGCACATGGTTTGGCTCTCTATATTAGAGAATCTTTCGATGTTGTGGAACTCGAGGCTGGGAATGGCAAGGTTGAGTCCCTTTGGGTTAGGATCAGTGGGAAGGCCAACAAGGCTAGCGTCCTGGTCGGGGTCTGTTATAGACCACCGAACCAGGATGAGGAGACAGATGAGGGGTTCTACAGGCAACTGACAGAAGTTGCGAAATCGTCGGCGCTTGTTCTCATGGGGGACTTCAACTTCCCTGACATATCCTGGAAGCACAACACAGCCCAGAGAAAGCAGTCCAGGAGGTTTCTGTGGAAGGTAGTTTCCTGATGCAGCTGGTTAGTGAGCCTACCAGGGGTGGCGCCCTGCTAGACCTTCTCTTCACAAACAGAGAAGGACTGGTGGGAGATGTGGTGGTCGGAAGCTGTCTTGGGCAGAGTGACCACGAAATGGTGGAGTTCTCTATTCTTGGCGAGGCCAGGAAGGGGACCAGTAAAACCGCTGTACTGGAGTTCCGGAGGACTGACTTTGAGCTGCTCAGGACACTGGTTGGTAGAGCCCCTTGGGAGGCAGTTCTGAAGGGCAGAGGAGTCCAGGAAGGCTGGGCAGTCTTCAAGAAGGAAATCCTAATGGCTCAGAAGCAGTCTGTCCCCACGTGCCCAAAGACGAGCCAGTGTGGAAGAAGAACAGCCTGGCTCAACAGAGAGTTGCAGCCTGAGCTTAGGAGAAAAAAGAGGGTTTACAATCTTTGGAAAAAAGGGCGGGACACCGAGGAGGACTGTAAGGATGTTACGAGGCTGTGCAGGGACAAAATTAGAAAGGCCTAAGCTCATCTGGAGCTCAACCTGGCTGCTGCCGTTAAAGACAACCAAAAATCTTTTTACAAATATATCAATGCAAAACGGAGGATTAAGGAGAATCTCCATCCTTTACTGGATGCGGGGGGAAACCTTGTTACAAAAGATGAGGAAAAGGCGGAGGTGCTTAATGCCTTCTCTGCCTCAGTCTTTAGCAGCAATACTGGTTGTTCTACGGATACCAAGTACCCTGAGCTGGCGGAAGGGGATGGGGAGCAGGATGTGGCCCTCACTATCCACGAATAAATGGTTGGCGACCTGCTACAGCACTTGGATGTGCACAAGTCGATGGGGCCGGATGGGATCCACCCGAGGGTACTGAGAGAACTGGCAGAGGAGCTGGCCAAGCCGCTTTCCATCATTTATCTGCAGTCCTGGCTATCGGGGGAGGTCCCAATTGACTGGTGGCTAGCAAACATGACGCCCATCTACATGAAGGGCTGGAGGGCAGACCCGGGAAACTATAGGCCTGTCAGTTTGACCTCAGTGCCAGGGAAGCTCATGGAGCAGATTATCTTGAGAGTCATCACGCAGCACTTGCAGGGCAAGCAGGCAATCAGGCCCAGTCAGCATGGGTTTATGAAAGGCAGGTCCTGCTTGACGAACCTGATCTCCTTCTATGACAAAGTGATGTGCTTGGTGGATGAGGGAAAGGCTGTGGATGTGGTCTACCTTGACTTCAGCAAGGCTTTTGACACCGTTTCCCACAGTATTCTCCTCAAGAAACTGGCTGCTCTTGGCTTGGACTGGCATATGCTTCGTTGGGTTAGAAACTGGCTGGATAGCCGGGCCCAAAGAGTCGTGGTGAATGGAGTCAAATCCAGTTGGAGGCCGGTCACTAGTGGCGTCCCCCAGGGCTCGGTGCTGGGACCGGTCCTCTTTAATATCTTCATCAAAGATCTGGATGAGTGCACCCTCAGCAAGTGTGCAGATGACACCAAGTTAGGTGCGTGTGTCAATCTGCTCAAGGGTAGGAAGGCTCTGCAGGAGGATCTGGATAGGCTGCACCGATGGGCTGAGGTCAACTGCATGAAGTTCAACAAGGCCAAGTGTCGGGTCCTGCACCTGGGGTGCAATAACCCTAAGCAGAGCTACAGGCTGGGAGAGGAATGGTTGGAAAGCTGCCAGGCAGAGAAAGGACCTGGGAGTATTGGTTGAAAGTTGGCTGAATATGAGCCAGCAGTGTGCTCAGGTGGCCAAGAAGGCCAACGGCATCCTGGCTTGCATAAGAAACAGTGTGGCCAGCAGGGCTAGGGAGGTGATCGTCCCCCTGTACTCGGCTCTGGTGAGGCCTCACCTTGAGTACTGTGTTCAGTTTTGGGCCCCTCTCTACAAGAAGGACATGGAGGTGCTTGAGCGAGTCCAGAGAAGGGCAATGAAGCTGGTGAGGGGTCTGGAGAACAAGTCCCACGAGGAGCGGCTGAGGGAGCCGCTTGTTCCTCCTGGAGAAGAGGAGGCTCAGGGCGACCTTATTGCTCTCTACGGGTACCTCAAAGGAGGCTGTAGCTAGGTGGGGGTTGGTCTGTTCTCCCACGTGCCTGGTGACAGGACGAGGGGGAATGGCCTAAAGTTGCCCCAGGGGAGTTTTAGGTTGGATCTTAGGAAGAACTTCTTTACCGAAAGGGTTGTTAGACATTGGAACAGGCTGCTCAGGGAAGTGGTGGAGTCACCATCCCTGGGTGTCTTTAAAAGACATTTAGATGTAGAGCTCAGTGATATGGTTTAATGGAGGACTGGTTAGTGTTAGGCCGGAGGTTGGACTCGATGATCTTGGAGGTCTCTTCCAACCTAGATAGTTCTGTGTTTCTGTTGCAGTCTCCCAGCTCAGAGCCAGCCACCTATTAGTCTGGCGCAACGGATTTGTGTTTTCCTTGCACTAGCTGTTCCTTCACCTCCTCTTCACATACAAGGACACGCATCTCTTTCATGCTCCTTCAGGAGTAAACAAGCCAGGAGAGATTAAAGCCTCTTTCTTCAGGTCAGTAAGATCCCTGCCTTTGGTTTCAGTGAGAATTCAGGCCCTAAAAACTCAAGTGTCTTCTGGACGGTGTTTCTTCTGGTAGGATGATTTCATTTCTCCTTTGAAGGCTTACAGGGATGTAGTAGCAAAAGCAAAGGCATAAAACGGTACCTGAGGCACAGGCTACTTTTCAGCCTGCAGCAGACTACAGGTATGATATCATCCTTCGATATCATACCTATATCATATATCATGTTATCATATCAAGAAACGTAGAAAACTGCCTGTTGCTTCTCAGGTTTCAAGTTTTCTCTTAAAAGGTGTATGCAAAGGTGTAATCAGCTGTCTGAGTACAATTCTCACGTATACATGAGCATTTTCCTCTCCCCTTCCCAACATGGAGTGCAACACTTTTCATCATACTGTTATAAATTCCGAGTCAACTTAGCTTTATGAGATTTATTTATGGGGTTAATACAAGGCAAGTAAAGAGCACTGGGTGCGCGGGGAGTCTGGGCTCCTCCAACACGCATACACGTTACATCAGGCGGCAGCTTTTTCTGCTCCTAGGCTAATACATGTTCATTACTACTTCTAGAAAAGGCAGTGTTACTATAATTAGTTCCCGGATTCCGAACCCTCCCACTGGCACATGCCTATCAGTCCCCGGTGGTCCCTCTGGGGGTCTCTCGTGCTGAAGGCTCATAGTCTTCCTCCCAGGCTTTGTCCTTCTCCTTTGTCCATCTTGGCTGGATATCAGGCTTGCCTCTAACTCTATACAAACAAGAGAGAGAAGCACACCTTTCTACTCTGTCAGCTACTGGCAGACCTAGAGGAAAAAAAAAAGTTGTTAATTAAAAAGAAATGTTGTTTTAAGGCATTTCACCAAATATGTTAATATTTGGTAGAAACCAGACAACAAATGAAAGGGAAGAAGAAACAGTAGAAGGTACTTGCATGACCTTAATTTACACGGCAATGGACAACAATGACAACCTGCAATGATTCAGAAGTGCCTTACACCATTCACCCTTGAGACAGAAAACTGGGATTCCCATATGACGTAAGGGGAGTGCAATCCCTCTCAAAATACAAGAGCCTGGGGGACGCTACTGAGTACTGAAAATGTTAAGGCTAGGCAGCACCGAACTCAGAGAAGGCAGGCTGAGTCTCCCTGGCCGTCCACGTAACAGACAAGAGCCTCAGCTTTTAGCCCTAAGCAACGATTCGTAGTGCCAGGCGGGGAACTAGTTCTTCGTAAGCCAGGGACCATTCCAGCATCTTTAAAGCTACAGAAAGGCTTGAAGGCTCTGTGGAATCATGTTCCTGGCGCAAAAATCTGGGGACCAGGACTGGGCAAGTGGGGCACAAGTGTGCTGGGGAGCAAGCTCTCTGGGCTGATTACCAGGGCTTTAAACTAGGTTTGATGGGGGAAGGGAGGGGAGCTAAAGGTGACAGAGAAGGGCTGGGGGAAGTCCTCACTACTGTTATAAATGGCTCAGTCTTCAAAATAGGACTATAATCAAAGTTTACAATTTATTATAGGAATAGAGGTAGAGCAAACAGTGCTGGGTGCGCCAGGAATCTCTGCTCCACCAAGACGCACACCAGTTACATCAAGCAGCTGATTTTTATGCTCCTAGGCTAACACATATTCATTACTGCTTCTAAAAAATAAACAGGGTTATTATAATTAGTTTCCGGAATCCAAACCCTCCTACTGGAGCATGCGTAACAGTCTCCGGTGGTCCCTCTGGGGGTCTCTCATGCTGAAGGCTCATAGTCTTCCTCCCTCTTGTCTTTCTCCTTTGTCCAGCTTGGCTGTAAGAGACTTGTGCAGCATCCCCTGCAAGCTTTGTCTTTTAGTCGTTCTTCAGCTTTCCCCGTCTCCTTAGTCTCCTGGCCAGATACCAGAGACTTGCATAGTGTCCCATGCAATAGTCATAATAGTTAGCAGCTATTCTGAACCCCCCCAGATATCAGAGACTTCAAGGAAAAGCCTACAAATACATTTCCCTTCAAGCTCTCTATTGACACGAATTGCTAAAACATTCCTTTGCAAGGTACAAGAACTACATACATGTACATTAACCCCTCTGTTTTTCTTAGACTTGTGCTTATAGAAGGGTCTGTAGGACAGAAGGTCCCATTCATCATACCATTCAGCCCTAGCATTGTTCCATACTGCCGCGGATCAGATGAACACATTTCACACCACTGCCACTGTTGAAGACAGGGAAAAACTTCTGAGCTCTCCCATAGGATTGTCTGAGGGCTCCTCAGAGAAGGTAGCGTTCCCAATCCCCCGTCCAGTATCCTCTTCTTGCATCCCCCCGGGGTAACTGTACCTGCTGCTTCCCTAAAGTGCCTGTGCACGGAGCGTGGGAAATAAACAGGATGAGCTCAAGGTCTGCGTTCGGACACAGGGCCACGATCTCATTGCGATCACACAGATCAGGAGGAGGAAGTCGACGAGGCCTTCTACGAGCAGCTGCTAGTAGCCTCACAATCACGAGCTCTGGCCCACATGGGGACTTCAATTACCCAGACATCTGCTGGGTAAGCAATTCGAACAGGCACGAGCAGTCCAAACGGTTCCTACAATGCGGTGAGGACAATTTTCTGATGGATCTGGGAAACTGCAGGTCAGTCAGTCTCACCTGTGTCCCTGGAAAGGTATTGGAGCAGCTTGCTTGGGATGCCACCCCGGACCAGGACTGGAGTCCCGCTCCGAATTTTCTCAGAAAGAAAGTTCTGTGCACCAATTTTCCCATTTCCAGTGTTAAGGGTTGCCAAAGCACGTCTCTGTGGTATATAGAGTTTGTACTGGTTGCACTTCACCCATTAGGAGAGATGTACTGAAACTCACTTCTTTTTTTTTTTTTTTTTTTTTTTTTTTTGATAGAAACACGTCATTCTTTTACTATACAGAAAATAAAATACTTAGTGAACATTATTGTATTTTTTTGCACTGGTGGGTTTGCTGAGAGTGTCACGAATATGTTGTTGCATATGTTAATTCTATGCTTTGTGTGCTGACAGAACTCATTCTTAAAATAAAGCTGCCCTCCTTTGAGAAAAGTAATGCCTATTATCAGGGGTGGTTTTCTTTACTAGGAATGTTTGTGTGTGGCATCAGCAGGCACTGAATGCCACAGCTGCTGCCCTGAACTGATTCCCATATTGATAAGCCCTGGGGCCAGGCTGGATCACTGTGTACAGTTTTGGGGTGTGGAAGGGCAAGTTCGTGCCGCAGTGCTGTCAGTGGTGCTGCTGGGGCACCGAGGTGCGTGTGGTGGCAGCGAGCACACGAACAAAAACCTCGCTGTGGGGCGGCCGCTCCCGGGCCCGCCCTCCCCCCAGCCTACAGCTCCCGTCAGGCCTCGCTCCGCTTCGCGCGGTGCCGCGCCCTTGTTTTGCGCCGCGAGGCATGCTGGGAGCTGTAGTCCCTCCGCGGCGCTGTACCCGCCTCCTATTGTGGCCCGGCCCGCGGCGCGCCGGCAAGGGCGGGCGGGGAGGAGGAGGAGGAGGAGGAGGAGGAGGGGGCGGTCGTCGGGGCGTCGCCGCCGCCATGGCCGGTTGTTGTCAGTCGCTGGCAGCGGGGCATGGCGACGGCGGTGAATGAATTCCCCGGGCGGCCGAGGGAAGAAGAAGGGCTCAGGCGGCTGCGGCTCCGCGGCCTCCCCCTCCCCGCAGCCCGGGCCGGCTCCCCCCGTGCCGCCGGCGGGGGCGGCGGCTGCAGCGGGGTCCCCTCGGTCCCCCCGGTGCCCCCGGTCGCCGTCGGCGCAGAAGCGGAGCCTGTACTACTTCTCCTACCCGCTCGTCGCCGCCTTCGCCCTGCTGCGCTTCGTGGCCTGCCAGCTGGGGCTGCTCCTCGCCTGGCTCTGCGAGCGCCTCTCCCGCGGCGCCCTCATGGCCGCCAAGGGCGGCGGGGCCGAGCCCGGCGGGGCCGAGCCCGGGGGGGCGGCCGAGAGGGTGCGGGCCTGCCACAAGCGGGCCTTCGAGTGCATCTCCCTGGCGCTGCGCATCGACGAGGACGAGAGAGGTGAGGCGGAGCTCCGTGCCCAGCGGCAGGCCTCGGGGTGCTCCCGGCACGGCTCGGAGGAGGAGGAAGGAGGCTGGAGCAGTGTGAGGGGCCCTCGGTGACAGGGGCCATAAAAGCCAGTGTGTGAGTCTGGCGGTGCCTCCACAGCTGGGGAGTGGCGGTGGAAATCTCTGGGGAGGGGGAAAAAAAAAAAGAGCGTCATGTGCATCATGGTTAGCTGCCAGGAGATGCGCGGTTCGGGGCGCTGAGGCTTGCAGGAGGTGAGGTAGCGCCGTGCCCCAGGGGTGGCCGTGGCCATCTCAGTGCCAAGTAGCCAAGCGCTCAGCTGGCAGATGCAAGCCACAGCAGGTACCTTGGTGCTTCTAAGGGTAAACCTTCAGATCCTGAGCCTTGTCAGTGGTTTGCCTCATGGATACTTTGTCACATAGGAATTAGGTGCACAGGTCATGTATTTAAAACAAAAAAAAAAAACCTCTGCTGCTAGCACAAACGGTTGCAAAGCTGTTTTAACCCTGCAAACGCAGTATCCATCTCATGGAGAAGGAGCTCACTTTGTTTTAATGCATAGCCTTGTGCATAGCCTTGTTATTTGTTTATCTGTTTTTATTGGCTGTACCACTGGAATGTGTGGCATAGCTTTTAATTTATTTGTTAATTAAATAGATTTTCATAAATTCCAACAGAAAATAATATGCCAGGTATAGTATATGAACATTGGGATTTCTGGACTGCTTAATACCCTGTCAGTTACGTGGAGTTGTTGCTGTTCTGGAGGCTGTGCATACTTCAGTAGCTATCATATCAGTTCTGATAACTTATACTCCTAAATTATTGTTGAGTTGTTTGTTTTTTTTTGTCTTTTTTTGCTTTAGTATTTTCAAAATCAAGCTTAATACTTCATTTTTCTCTGGGTAACCACACCGAGGCAGCAGCAACTGTGGTGAGTTTTATGGAAACCCCAGCGAGCAGCTGGGCACCTGCAGAGCTGCTCATGTATTCCTTTCAGCAGGGTCAGAGGAGAGCAGAAGTGAGAAAACCTGTAGGCTGGCATGAAGGCAGTTCCATGAGTGAAGGAAAGGGGAGGAGGGAACAAGTGATGGAAAGGCAATTGCTCACGACGTATTTGCACACAGAGCAATGCCTAGCCAGTTTCTGAGCAATGAAGGTCAGCCCCCTACACATACACCAGCCCTGTTCTTCCCCTACCTGAGTTTTTATTTCTGAGTGTGGCATTATATGACACGGAATATCCCCGTGGCCAGTTTGGGTCGGTTATTCTGCTGCTGCACTCCCAAGGGACTAGAGTGAGAAGAAGAAATCCTTGAGGCTGTGCAAGTAGCATTCAGCAACAGCCAAAACATTGGAGCGCTGCCAGCGCTGGTGTAGTCACAAATCCAAAACAAAGCTGCGGACAGGCAGCTATGAAGAAAACTAACTCCTTCCTGGCACATCAGAGACTCGTTTCATGTCCTCATCAGTGAGAGCTGGGAAATTGTTCCGTTTGGACCCAGAGCACGGCCCCTGCAAGCAGCTCGGCTGGCTGTCTCGCTTTCAAAACTCCAGCTAGAAGGTGGAAGCGGGATTTTAACGATGTGCTGGGCACATTTCAGCTGCTCTTCAGAATAGCAAAGCAATTCAGGCAATAGCAAAGGTGTCTGGAATCGTCTCCAGTTTGATTTCTGATGGCTTTCAGCAGCACTGAATTTACACTGCAGTTGAAACTGCTTCTGTAGGTGACTGGGGGAAACTTAAAAAAGGCTGCGGAGGAGATCAAAGTCACAGCTTTTGCTATCTCATTTCAGTAGTGCTCTTTAGCAGTCGGGATATGTGATACTGGTGGGGAGAGGGCAAAAATAAAGCGATTCCCAAGGTGTGTGATGTACGCAGCTCTAGGGAGGCGCTGCTCCTGTGGTTTCTGTTGTTAAAAGAGCAAAGTAAGGAATTGCCTCCCCATGGTAACTTGCCAAATGTTGCTAAAAGATTTTTGCATCTGCAGAGGAGGAAGAGAAAAACCTTAAGAGGCTTCTGGAAATGTATTTAAATATTTTCCTGGCACTGCAGTTTCATAGAAGATAGGTTTGGGAGTGAAGTCACGAAAAGGTTTGAATGCAGAAGCAACACAATCTTTGGTACCTGGTATTCAGGAATATTTTTGTTATCTTTTCTGAAAAGGGGGTAACCAAGATTTCATTCTAGGTATATTTTTTCATTTTTTTTTCCTAGTACTGGTAGCTTGTTAATGCTAGTCAGGTTTAAGTTGTGATACCTCATGTGCTACATTCCTTTGTGAAAAAGCACGCTCAGTTATGACATTGCTACCTTAAGAGTGCATGCTTCAGTGCGCAGTGAAATATATCCTGAATAGAGAGTATTTATAGAAAGGGAGGGATGGGAAGTAGATGGGAGTATCTTTGTGATAGGGCACTTGATCTCAGGGTGCCAGGTGGTGCGGGTTCGGTGTGGGTGTGCTCATTGCTGCATGTGCTGTAATTTCCCTTTTGGACGCTGTTGGTACACTGGCGTGCTCCCAGTGCTATGTGCGTTTTATTTCACGGAGAAGCTGACGTTCACCTGCAATACAGCAGTTTCGTGATAGGATGAACAAAGACATATTGCTGTGGCAAATGAGCTGCTGTACAAAATTAACCAGAGGAAAGGTATCTCCTTTCACTTGGGGAGTATCTCAGGCTCATTGGTTTCCTTCCTGAATTTCCATGCTTCCAGTGTTACTGTGTTGATGAATATCATTGGAAGATTAAAAGGCATGGCTTGGTTTGATGTTCCAGAAAGAAAAATAATGTTAACTTTACCATTTCTGTTGTGAATATGTGTAGGATACCTTATTTTATTTTAATTTTTCTATGTATATATATATTTTTTTTTAGGTGAGATGATCTCTTTAAGGTAGATGGAGAAGGATTCCTAAATCAGGCAAAAGTGATTTGAGGCTGGTGTAATACCTGTTTATAATAGAAAAGCTTATTTGAAACTACATAGCTACAAAGTTGACAGTGTCCCTTTAAATGTTTCTTTAAATCATAGAATTTTGTTCCAATATATCTTCCTTCATGTTACTTGTTTTACACAATTAGATGGAACCGTTCCTGAGCTTCAGTTCGCTGCGCAAAATAATGGGTTCACTTCCTTTTTAAGCAGGACAAAAGGAACAAGCTGTTGAATGGTATAAGAAGGGAATTGAAGAACTGGAAAAAGGAATAGCTGTCTTAGTTGTTGGTCAAGGTAAGCCAGTTTTGGGTTTTGTGGGAAAGATTTGCCTTATTGATTAATTCTGGTTTATGGCTTCCTCAAAGCAAGAAACCGATACCGCTAAATATGGGAGGTGCTAGGAACAGCCTGCTGTATGAATTTATATGGGTGTATTTTTGTTTCAGCTGTAGGTGCACACTGGTCCGTTTGTCTGTGCTACCTTAACATTCTGGTCTGCAATGCATGGGACTCCTACTCCAAATATTCTTGTGTTGTACAAAGTCATAAGCAGTTCATGAAAATAAGTCTTAAGTAAAATACCTTCTTTCTGAATATTTTGGCATTCCCATTAAGAGTTAGGTTTTGGTTTTCCAAAACTGACAGTAGTGGAGTAGTTCATGTCTTCACTTACTGTCATTTGGAATGGCCTGATGTTGTATTTCTGGATAGCTTATGCCAAAATATCAGAACGCTTCCAACACAGGAAGAAAGTCTGTGTATATGGAAACATTTTAAGCTGTAGTCTAGAAGGAAATATGCACCATGGAGAAGTAGCTGTAGTGAAGGACTCAGTAAGAACCTCTGTCCTCAAAATAAGTGTGTGTGTGTGTCTGTGTGTCTCTCTCTCTCTCTCTATATGTACATATATATACATATATATGTATGTGTATATATATGTATAAAAAAAAAATGGCAAAGCAATCTTACATTTTGTTTTGCTTTCCTGACTGCTGTTTTCTCAGGTATATTTAGAAATGCTTGTGAACAGTATATGCTGACATTTTTCTTATCGAACAGCACCAGTGGCATTTGATACAACCTAAATTGCAGAATTGGGAGGAGGAAAAAAAAAAAGCTTGACTTGAACAGACCACTTTTAAAGTGGTGATATCGTTGCCTGTAATTCTATGCCTTTTGAAATGTAAAGGGACACGGTCAACTGAATTTAAGTTTCTTAGTTTTGTCAAAATGAATGATTTTGAATTATACTTGCCTCTCAGTCACTTTTCAAGCTTTTTGAAAATTTAATTTATATGACTGCTGTTTAGAAAAATGTAGTGAAAAGGAGCATATATTAGGTCAGCATGAAGTGTCAGAGAACGGGTTCACACCTCTCTACAAGCGGTATTGTAAAAGAGACAGTGACAACTAACTTGAAAACTTTATTTAATCAAACTAAATTTGGTTAAATAAAAAGCTTCATTAGTTTTGCAGTGCCACTTCTTAGTGGAGGGGTTAGCTAAGGGGTGGGAGGGAGAAAAGGGATGGCTGGATGTCAGTTTTGTAGCTCTTTAATAGGTTAATTTGCCAAATTGTGTTTTAACATTGATTTTTCTTTGTAAGGTGATCAGTGTGAACGAGCTCGACGTCTGCAATCTAAAATGATGACAAATTTGGCAATGGCCAAGGATCGCTTGCAGCTTTTAGGTACCAGTTACAATTCATGACTTTGGAAAGTTTTTCATTACTTGCACAAGTTGATGTAATGCGTTCTTCTAAACTATGACTTGTGATTTTTAAAGTGAAGAAGTCATTCTCTGTGTAGGCTCTCTTAAGTTTGGTTTTTAGCTGAGTATAAGTAATATTTGTCAATGCTGTTGAGTTCTGAAATTTCCTTAGAAAATAGGTGTAAAGGTAACTGAGAAGTCTTTTTACCACAGCATGCTTGACTTGTAAACTGGACGAGTGTTACAGATGTTGG